TAAAAAGCTCCTGCAAATCAACAGCACATATTTCAATAAGCCACTAGAAAGATGGACCAAGGATATGCAAAAATTGTTTCCAGAGGCAGAAATAGAAATGGTTCTTAAAGAAGATGTTCCATTCCACTTCTGCTAAAAAAGACAGAAGTATTTCCCTAGATACATTGACCTCTCAGATAGACAAGGACCCCCAAAAGTTGATAGTAATCCTGCAGTGAGGTGTGAGTCATCACCCACCTTCATGTAATCCTGGTGGGATTGTTACCAGGTTCAGCCTCTCTGTGTCGAGATGTGGCAGTGTCTATTTATGTGCAGTTATGAATTAGAACAGATAGACATTCTGCATGCACACTCAAATAGGAGATAAATGAAGCATGTGGACATTTTTGCAATATTCTTTGTGTTAACAAGTGATCAGAACTTGACGGACTATTTACAGTCTATTCACACAATGGAATGCAGTGTGTCCTTAGAAGTAATGGTGAAGCCGTTTGTACACAGGGATTGAAGAATCTCCAATATGTAAAGAAAAAAAAAAGTAAACCACATGAGCAAATATAGCTGCCAACATTATGAGGATGAAAAGAACCGAAGAATAAACTCAGGTGTTTTGTGGATATTCCTGAGACAGCCCTAGGAGAGTGCAGGGGACACTAAGAGCCCTAGTTGTCTGAGGCAGGAGGAACTCGATGCCTGAGTGTGGGGGTGGGAGACCCCTCCAGGTTTCCTCTCTCATCCAGTCTGAAATTTGAAGCATAAACACATGCCTCTTGCATGAATAAAGAAGCAGTTGATACTTGAGAGTGTGCTACTGCGTGAGGTGGCAGCGAGGTCTTGGAATGTGCACACTCCTGGGGCGGAGGCACTTGGCTGAGATCTTTGTCATGCTCATGGTCACAGGTGCTCACAGCAAATGCCACAACGTGGGCTCACCTGAGAGTCTAAACCTGGGGAAGCAGAAGTGTCCACTCCCCTGGCTAGAGGAGGAGGTAAACAGCCCCCAGTCCAGCCATCCTCCCTGACTCCCCTGACCCCCTCTGACCTTCACCTTCACTAGACCTTCCTTTTTTGTAAACCTGAAACCTGACCATGGTTGACTTACAGGCCCTGGTGGTAAGTAGAATTCTAACTTGGTCTTCCTATGTCCACC